TCTCTATTCTATTCTATTCTATTCTATTCTATTCTATTCTATTCTATTCTATTCTATTCTATCCTATCCTATCCTATCCTATCCTATCTCTATTCTGTTCTATTCTATATTCTATTCTTATCTAATCATAATAGATTAGATAAGAATAGAATATAGATTAGAATAGAATAGATTAGATAAGAATAGAATATCTCTTCTCTCTATTCTAATATTCTAATATTCTATTAGAATATTTTCTAATATTCTATTCTATCTCTATTCTAATCTAATCTAATATTCTATTCCATCTCTACTCTACTCTACTCTATTTTCCGCCCATCTCATAGCAATGTTTTGCAAGAACTGTGATCCAAAGCATTCCTTTTTTAACACAATGTGGAGACATTATCAGACTTGGTTGGAAGATGGATGGCTATATACAGGTAGTCCTCGACTTACAACCGTTTGTTTAGTGACCATTCAAAGTTACGACGACACCGGGGGGAAAAGGGATTCGTGGCCGTTTTTCAAAGTTACAGCCTTTATACCATCCCCACGGGATCACGGGACCAAAATTCAGGCGCTTGGCAACTGACTTGTATTTACGACGGTTGCAGCGTCCTGGGGCGGGGTGACGTGATCCCCTTTTTGTGACCTTCTGCGAAATAGTGGGGAAGCCAGATTCATTTAACAACCGGGCTAGTCACTGATCAACTCAACTGTGGTTGTAAGTGGAGGACTACTATAAATGTTTTAATTTTTTTTTAAATAAACGTTAGAAAACCACTCGCCTTCACTGCCTCTTGTTTCTTGCGTTAAAGGCAGCCGCTTAGAGAGATCACCCTTTTAGCGTTTAGCTCCTGCAGTCACACCTGAAGGCTAAATGGATTTCAGGAGCAGATTAATTACCCCGTAGCTGCGGTTGATTAATTAGCTTGGGCTGCAATCCAGCTAAAATAGGCGGTTATGTAACTGTGTTTTCCTCTCCTTTCCCCCCCCCCCCCCCGCCCCCAGGCCAGACCTTCGTAACGGCGAAAGGAGATGAAACGCATTAACTGGCATAATATTTAACTGTGGCCGTGTTACAGGAATGCACAACGCGCGCAGGCTGCATGGATGCAACGTTTGTTAGTTTTAGCTTTGGCATGTGATTAAGAAGAGACTAGACAGCCACTTGTCTGAAATAGTATAGCATAGATTCCCCAGCTTGAGCAGGGGTTGGACTAGAACAGGGGTCCCCAACCACCGGTCCGCAGACCGGTACCGGTCCGCGGAACAACTCCTACCGGGCCGCGGCTTGCTGGGCGCTGCCATCTTTTTTTTCATGAAAAAGTGCTTCCGGTGAGCTTTTCCGGGTAGAAAGCTCACCGGAAGCACTTTTTCATCAAAAAAAGATGGCGGCGCCCAGCTGATGCCGGTACCGGGCCGCGGCGTCAAAAAGGTTGGGGATCACTGGACTAGAAG